TTTTTAATACACAGAATTTCCACAGTCACTTTAAACTTAACAATCTTTATAACACACGCTATAAATCACAGTGATTCACACACTTTACTTACGGTGCCAAATGTTCGCTTGCCTCAGTTATCTCTATCTTCAATCTATCTGCATATCTATCTATCACTGGCTTTATTTGCCGGCTTATGTACTAAAAAAAAAGGCCCCTGGCAAACACTCGGATATTCGCGAGGTTCCTCGATAAGTCATGATCCTTCTAGAAGCTCCAGCGCGCATGCTCCGAGCGTCGCGTGACTGACGCTGCCGTAACAATATGATAAAAAAGTTGATGATTTATAATTAGACTTAGATGATCGTGTAGGATAGTAACTATGACAACGGTTCGTATATCGTAGTCACAAGCATACTGTAATGATCGTGTAGGATACCAACTATGACAAAGGTTCGTATATCGTAGTCACAAGCATGCTGTAATGATCGTGTAGGATACCAAGTATGAGAACGGTTTGTATATCGTAGTCACAAACATGCTGTAATGATCGTGTAGGATAGTAACTATGACAACGATTCATATCTCGTAGTCACAAACATGCTGTAATGATCGTGTAGGATATTAAGTATGACAACGATTCGTATATGATTCATTAGTATTCCAACCTCGTGAGACGCTTAAGTTTAGGCAGATGGTATGGCAAACTTTCAATCTTGTGATAAAATTAAGTTTAGCAAATGGTTTGGCAAATTTACAACCTGGTGACACATTTAAGTTTAGCAGAAGGTTTGGAAAACTTCCAAACTCGTGACACACTTAAGTTTAGCAGATGGTTTGGCAAATTTACAACCTCGTGACACCCTTATGTTTAGCAGATGGTTTGGCAAACTTCCAAACTCGTGACACACACACTTCTTCGCATTTTCAATTATGTATGACTTCATCTGTATCGTTAGTAAAACTGTTATAACATTGTTGATATAAGTTGTGCGTCTGTTTTTGCCTGCACTTAAACAGCTATTAATCTGTGTAAAGATACGGTCATATAAATGACTCGTCAAGAATCAAACAAGATTACTTAAACTAACGTTTAAAGGATTGACATACCTTATTTTTCAGCTTAGGTTTAAAATATTAATAGTTGTATTAAACATCCCCTCCTCTTCCCCCCCTCATTGGCCCAGCGTCAAGTATGAATGTTTACAATGCTAAAAAGTTCTGTTTCGATATCCGTGGTGGGCTGAGCATAGACAGCCCCTAGTGTAGCTTTGTGCTTAACAACAAATAGATATTTTTGAAATCTTTAAATTTTTAAACTCTTCCAAAAACTTATGACACAACTGATTTTTACAAGGTCTCTCAGTCTTTCTTAGTTGTGATAGTACAAAAAATGCAGTATCTATCGTTAATAGCATTAGTGACGGGTATTTGTTCTGGAAATGTAATAGTGTTAATATATTGGATTTACAACCCACTTTATATATCACAATTTACATCATAATCATATAAAAACTTAAATATCAAATCATACTTATTCAAATAAAAGCACATCGTATTTAAAATCTTCCCCTGATGGTACATACACATATCCTAACTAAAACCTAGAGCCCATCTCTTCTAATTTAAATATCACGATTTACATCCTAATGACTAAAACATTAAATATTAAAATACACAATTCAAATAAAACACCTTTTCCTCGTGACAGTACATACACATACACGAATTCAAATTACCTGCTCTAACTTAGAAAGTAACGCAGCTAAAAATTATAAATGTCGTGTAATCTTACAAGCTTTCGAACTCAACTCCAGTCCACTTTTAGATAAAAACCACACAAGCCGTGACACCAAGATAGTCCACCACCACCACACAAACCGATGACATAATCACACTATATCTTCAGGTGAAAACCACACAAGCCGATGACATCATCATAGTATTTCTTCATGTAAAAACCACACAAACCGATAACATCAATAAACAAAAACACTTAGAATGGACGGGGGGGGGGGGTTGCCATAGGGTCGCGTGATCGAAACCCATCGTATAGCTTTATGCTTAACTTCAAACAAACTTTATCAAGAAATATTTTATTCACATTTTTATGAAAATATTCATGTGATTTTATAAGCTAGATTGTCTAATGTTTTCACATGATTATTTTGTAAATATTTGGGATAAAACTATGAAAATTGAGCAATAGTCTCGTGATTTTTTTTTATTTTTATGAAATTCTTCACAGTCCAATATACCCTTCTTGTTATGGACTAAAACATCCGAGACAGCAAGTTATCTAACCTGTGTGAACTTTGTATTGTTATGTTGATGGCGATTTGCACTCGACTAAAGATGAGAAAATTTGTTGTTTTTAGTATGTAATTATGCACAAAGCTACACAATGGGCGATCTGTTCTCAGCCCACCACAGGTATCAAAACCCGGTTTCTAGCGTTGTAAGTCCGCAAACGTACCGCTGCCACTGGGGGGGGGGGGGGGCAATAATAAAAGTAGTGTTACGACATCGGAAGTCACGCGACGCTGGGAGCATGCGCGCTAGAGTTTCTAGAAGGATCGTGACTTATCGGGCAATCTCACGAATGTCCCAGCGTTTGCTAGACGCCCTCTTTCTTACTATATAAGCCGGAGATAGATTGAAGAGAAATAATGGAGATAATCGAGTCGAGCGAGCAGTAGGCACTATAAGTAAAATGTGTGAATCGCTGTGAATTATAGCGTGTGTTTATAAAAGTAGTTAAGATTATAGTGACTGTGGAAATTAAATGTATTACAAAGTTTGTATCCAGAAGGAATAAACTAGTTTTAA